TCTTTCATAGTTAGGACTATAGTCTTTCATAGTCAGGTCTATAGTCTTTCATAGTCTTTACTATAGTCTTTCATAAAGATAGGGATAATAAGATAAAGATAAGAAGATAAGGATAAGAAGATAAGGATAAGGAAGATAAAGATTTTTTCGGGCGACATGTAGGTGTGATGTAGGGTCGATGTAGAGTCGATGTAGGGCCGATGTAGGGCCGATGTAGGGTCGATGTAGGGTCGATGTAGGGCTACAGGAGTATAGAAACCATGGCGAATAAACAATTAAGCCAAACAACTCTTATTACAAAAAACATTTAAATTGTTGTGCGTAATTTATATACAATCAAACACATTATGCTCTAAGAAGTAGACCACATTAACTTTGTAAACGTCTCGAAGAAATAAATGTATTTTAAGACTGAATTTTTGTGTAAACGTCTGGTATAAAGCCCTCCTGTCCTGTCTAAACTGCTTTCTCTCTTCCAATATAAGCCTACTTATTGTTGTGTTTCCGACCCGCACGGATAACCTGCGACGCCCGCGCAATGAATATCCTAATCTATCCGTATTTATCCACATTAGAAAATGCAAATCTCTGATAAAAATTAATCCTTTAATTAGTTTCACCCTGACAACACATAGCAACCGGTGTGCTTTAATATAGCTTAAATTTATTAACCTTATCCGAGTTTTAGTACTTTAAAAACCTAGCACTAAAATATAGAAATCGCTTGACAATTATATATCATAACCTTTAACTTCCATGTGCACGTGTTTATATAACTCAAGATAGCAATAAATGAATTAAAAAAAAAAACACCTGAAATCTCATGCAAACTTTTGCCTGCAAAGCCCGCTTTTCCGCCCGCGCAAACCACCCGCCTGATTAGTGTACAAATATGTTGTACGTTAATATATGCATGCACGCAAGCGTCGCTAATGACTTAGCAACAAATAACAACGTATATAACGATTACATGTTTTTATTGCAAAATATATTACAACTGTTCCAATTCTAACTTATGTTCTTGATAAGCTTACTTATGATCTGACTCAGTCATCTTAACAGTATATATGTATGTAGAATATTTGCTAAAATAACGTTGAACAACATGTAAATATTGACCTTAACAACGACGTTGACAACTCGGGATTAGGAACTGTTTAGTTTAAAATATGTCTAAAATATGTTTAAAATATGATTTTTGAACGAATAGATTCCTTATTTGCCCTCGTTCGTTTTCGTTCATCATGAGGCAGTCATGTTGTCTTTGACTAGGATGACCGACTTGACAACCATTACA